ACACACACACGCCTGTGATCATATAGATCTAGCAGTGCTTGTTGGCAGAGCAGCCCATCATCATCAAGTTTGCTGTTTGCATTAAAAAATTTGTGCAAAGTAGTCTTGAAGGTGAATACCAGTCATTTCGTCACACTGAGTGCAGTCAAGACGTCACATGCAGTCATCTCGTCACACCACAAATCCACAAAGTTGAATGGAGAATGCCATTTCGTAGCACATACACTTGCGAACATCAAACGTGCATTGTCATGGCAATCGCAAATTGCGATTTTTTGGGGAGGGGGGGGGGGGGGCTGTGCAAGTCGTCGTGCCCACCAGATTAGCTGCACTGTTCATTAACATGTAGGCCTATTGACAATATTGAAGTCTATCGAGTCAGATCAACAAAGTTTTTAAGTATTAGGCTATTGATGAAAGGTGTGATTAGCAAGATCATGATATTAAATTAGTTCTCTGTATTTAAACTGTATTGTTTTACAACTATGGAACAGTTTGGACGAAGATTTAATTTACAATGATAATTTATGAAACTTCTTAAAAAGCTCTAGGTTGGTCCTCCAAAACTCTACTAGCATAACAATTTGGGAGAGATATTTATTATAAGCAGTCTTTTTGTCACACATTGGGATGTAACGAGATGACCGTGTGACGAAATGACTAGTTGCCTTGAGGGTTATAAATATTAAAGTATTCATCTTGATATTGTGAATGCTTAAATAGTATTTCTTCCCTCCTCATTACATTATCAATTGTATTGAGATTATAAGGAGTTGAAGAGATACTCAGAAGATGCATGCATCATGACTAAAAGAGAAGAGTGTGTAATATGCACCATACTGTGAATTATCCGTAGGCCTACTTGATGCATATTTTTTGTTGAAGTTTGGCATTGTGCTATAATGGATTATTCAGTCCTTTATCAGTAAACAGGGTGCAAAGGGGTAGTTTTAGTACTCAGTACTCCTGACACAGCAGAATCGGCAGAAAGCTGAAATGTTTTCGTTTATAATAGTATGATGCAAATTCCGCTATATTTATATGTTTTAAATACAGTAGTCTCCCCTTAGAAGACCCTGGTGCTTGGGAGAAGGGAAAATATATTTGCGATCTTCGGCAAACGGGATCTTACCCACAGGGTTGGGTTGATTTAAATCAGTTGATTTTAAAAATATAAATCAGTGATTTAAATCACTTTTTTTTAAAATTATTTTTATTCAGTTTTTACATATTTCAACATTCAGAATTCCTTTCCTTGGTTTCATAAAACAGATTATAATGTTAAGTAAACTAATATAATCATGTTTAAAAGTCTGCTTTCCTTCCTTTCACTGTTTGTGGGTTTATGGTTTATGGAGAGCAAAGTTAACTTTCATCATCACGACCACACACAATGGCATGCATGCCATTTTCACTCCAATCGTGAGTCTCAAGATCTATTGATCAATATTAAAGTCTCCCCTTAATTATCCTCTTCAAAATTTACATCTCCTGCCTCTGTCATAATTCACCATTGAACTGTGACTACACTAGTTAAAATCCAGTCTGTCTAGCAAATTCAAGAGTAGAGATGAAAGGCAGCTGCTGAGATAATCACAGAAGCAGAAGCACTGACGAGTTCACAAGATGATGTGATCCTGCCTGACATGGCCTTGTAGGCCATAAAATCGGCTTACCCAGGTTTTTGTTCCAAAATATGATGTGATATGAAATAAGGGACCTTAGCTGAATGCAGTCCTTCACAGCTGGATCTGAGGGATGTCTTTTGTATAGTAAAAATTATTTTTCTTAAAACAGTGGGATCTGAAGTGGACCCGTACATGTACATCTTAGTCAGAGAGTACTATACATAATATACATTATATGGTGCATGACAGCTTTTGGGACCTGAAAATAATCTCTTCGCTATGTGCACGCTCGACTATATTTTTGGAAACAGGACTATGATTCAAAAGTCCTCAGTATTTGAGCCTCAGACTCCTGCATGCTGGACAAATGAGAAGCTGCTGATGGCATATATATATATATATATATTTTATTTATTTTTTTAAATTTTTTATATATATATATATATATATATATATATATATATATCTATCTATATATATATATATATATATATATATATATATATATATATATAGATATATATATATATATATATATATATATATCTATATATATATATATATATATATATATATATATATATATATATGCTCTCTTGCATGAGCTGGGCTGTGTGTGAGAGGGAAAACAATTTTTGAGTCGTTAGGTTCTTACGAGTATCATGTAGAAATTATAAGACTAATAATGATAAAAACTTGTCCTTCCGTAACTCCAAAACTAATTATTTTGATGAACTGTCACTTGCTAAGTCGGTCCATCTATCTGTGCCAATTATTGCTATTATATTGTTATTTTTACACTTTTCTCAAATTAAAAGCTCGTCAACACTTAACTTTATAAAATTCGTAATAATTTTTTTGATGATCGTTTAAAACAGAAATCCAGTCTGCTTAGATCAAAGTATTGATGCATGACATTTACAGGCAGAAGTAATTTTATTGTTACTTAGTCATATATACGTTACGTGACTTGTATAAATTTGATTTTGTTCACAGCATATGGTTTGACGGCCAAAATGTACATCGAAAGAGGAGATTTAGTTCCTGACCAGGTGATGGTGCGAATGATCATGTACGAGCTGACCTCTATACACAATTCCAGCTGGTTGTTGGATGGTAGGAAATCTCTCTATTATGACTCTACTTTTAAAAAAAAAAATTCTTTCTTATTTTTTCTCGCTTGCATCGAACTTACTTTTGTTGTTGTTTTTTTCACTTACTAAACGTTTTTAAATCCTCATTTTTGCTTAGGTCTAAATGAATCTTCAAATAGATGTTAATTTTTTTTTCTAACACAAAAAGCCTGTTCTTCATGCATTTGTGACATAAAAAAATAATCTGTTTGTTGTTGTTAGTTTCAACAGTACAGCTATTTCCGTATTTTATGAATCAATGAGAGTAGCATGTGGAAACATTGCTGAAAAATCACATTTTAATTTGAGGAAGAATATGCACTTTGAATAAACCATAATCGTAGAACTCTTCTAGTAATGTTTTCTTGGGCCATTAACTCTGTAGTCAGCCTAGTTAATGTGAAGTGAAAATACATATAATATAATGCATTCGTTTTGTCCACAGTTGAAGGATGGCGCTTTTCCAAATTTCAGAAATAAATATCTGTATTAAGTACTTTTTAGAAAAGTAAAAGTTCTATAGAACCTGGTTGTTTAGCCCTTCTATTTGCTGTGCTGTAGTTGGTTAAAGTTTTGATCCTCATGTGCAAAGTTGAGCTTCACATCCGATTGAGGGTTTAGTTTTCCTTTTCTTTTATATAATATAAAAACTTTAAATTTGCTTTGTACCCTGGGTAATAGGACAAACTGTTCTGCGTTCTGAACCGTGTTCATTTTTAGTTTAAGTTTGTTGACCTTAAGAGATAGTAGTTTTTACTACTATAGTCATATGAAATGATTAGGGAAAGAAAAACAGCATATAGTTATACCAAAGGGGTAGGAAAGAATTTGTTAAATATTTCTACTTCAGACATCTGTTTTTGCTTGTAGTTGGACATCAAGCAGAAAGATTTCCTAATTTTTAAAATGTCATATTTTTTGGGGGGGTAGTAATTCCTTTGGACATCTTTATATTAGTAGAATCTGTCTGCTCCAACAGGATTTCCAAGAACTGTTGAGCAAGCCAAAGCCCTTCTACGTGATCAGCCGATAGACATCGTGCTCAATCTCAGGGTTCCTTTTGACGTGATCATTGACAGAATCAAAGGCAGATGGACTCACCCACAGAGTGGTCGGATTTATCACACAGAGTTCAATCCTCCAAAAGAACCAGTTAGTAGAAATCTTTTTTCCTTTTGAATTTGTTGTTATTAAGGGTGCCCTTTTTTTTTCTAATTTGGGGAAATTGATTGCTGAGGATATTTCGTCTCCTTGGTTTTTGGTGGGGGGGGGGGGGGGGGGGGGGGGGGTTCCCTTAAGTGTTTTTGTCACTCTTGTTTCCTTTAGCCTATTTTTGACTGTTTTCAAATCCCCATTTGAATGAATTTGGAGGTGGATCTTCTTACCTTTAGTTTTGGTGTTTTAGGAGGGGTCAGCTTTGAGAATATCAAGTTCGAGACATTTACTATGTCATAAAAAGAAAAATGGATGGAATGTAATTTTTTTTTATCTGTTAGTTTAATGTTGTCACTCCTCATTTCGCCTTTATTGTTATTGATTTTTCTTAAAAAAAACAAATTGTTTTTTATGATTTCTAGTCTTAATGTCTTCTGTTCTCTTCAGTGGGTGGTTTGCAGGTGCTCTGGTGTGGTTTGCTTCTTCTTTCCTATGAAACATCTGTCGTCCTTATCTCCCCTTCTTCTTTTTTATGTTTATTACTCTCTTGTAACACATCTAATCTTCTGGCGCTCATATGACGTTGCAGTTGCGAGCGCCGTTAAACCTCTACTAAAACTTAACTGTTCTTTTCAAAGTAAAATATTGCTTTATGTAATCTGCCAACTTAAGGCCGTCAACTCTATTATTCCTGTCTGTGTTTAGGGTGTGGATGATGTGACAGGCGAACCTCTAATGCAACGTGACGATGATAAGGAAGAAACTGTGAAGGCTCGTCTCGAGCATTACAGGCGATTGACGCATCCTGTCTTGCAGTTTTTCAGGTGAGATACAGGTCCATGGTCAAAAGTCTTTTTAGGCTGTATTTTGGGGAAATTATTGAACTGTTGGTAGGCAGTATGTCATCACTACCACAGTGATTTTTTTTCTGTTTTGATCAATATTTTGGTGTCTTATACTGATGATTCTTGCAGCCTTTCTGGTTAACCATGTCACACTTTCAGCGTCCTTATGCACCCGCGCAGATAAACCCAGCTCATCTCTATAGTGCCCAAATGCTCCCAGGCAGAGGAATTTAGTTTCAGTGTCATGAAGGACTTCTAATTTTGTTATTAACTCAAGGTTTACTTTGCTAACCTCATAGGATGGCACTTATAACCTTATGCAGTTGCGAGCGCTGTAAAACCTTACTAAAACTAAAACTAACCTCATAGGAGTAGGGTTCCGGTTTATTACCATGTTTTACTTGTTTCGCTAGCTCAGAGAGTGACTTTTTGCGTGGGATCAAAAGTTGGCGCTGATTTCAGTCATAATCTTGTCATTTTCTAGTCATTTCTTCTGGGCAGAGCACAAAGTCTTCAGTTTGTTTCGAGAACCCACTGGCACTGTTTACAGTAGTGAGCTTTATGGACTCTATGTAAATGCAACAGGGGCTACAAATAATCCAAAATACTGTACAAGCAAATTGATGAATCCAACAGCTTGCTGGCTTTAGTCTCAGTGACTAGTTTTTATTTCATTCTTCGACGTGAATTACCTGATAGTGATAGTGATCAACAGAAACTTGTTGAGTTGAAAAAAAATAGATACCAGAAAGCTCCCTTGGCCAGCTCTTGTGTTATTTACTTTGTTTACTCTTGATTTTTCTCTTTGGGACTATTTGCTTTCGTTGTCCTATGCTTTTGTGATTTTGTGTGATTGTTTTACAATCATAACCTTCATTCCTGCAAAGAGAGCTCTCAGAATCCAAGACCTCTTGAAGACTTCTCATATCTTATCTCACTGTTCCATTCTCCTACAATTTTGCATTAATTATTTAGCCCAATCATTTTCCTTTTAGAAAATATGTTTTTCATTATTGTAAAATATATGTGTGATTTTATATAATTTTTTTTAGTAAAGTGCCCCTTCTTTTTTTACGGAGTTATTCTCCTTTTCTTAAGAGCCTGCCTTGTCTGCTAAGTGTGAGAGGATTAATGTATAACTGAGTTGTTATTGGAAAAGTATCTGAGCACTAAGCTCTTACTATCTCTATGAGGCTTGGAATAGATGTGCTTTGAGTTTCAGAACTAGGATGGGTGAAAGTGATGGAACAAAACTGCTTAAAATAAAAAGGAAACATAGAAGGTGGGATGCTGGGGGGTAGGGTTTTTTGTGTGTTTTTTTAAATAATGAGATGTAAAGGATATGAGAGCAGATGCAACACTAATTATAATGGAAGACATTCAGTGAGACCATGAATGTTAAATTGGAAAGAAACAATGTGTATTATGTTTTATGGTTTACTGAGAAAACATTCTAAATTCCCTAAAGTCCTTCTTCTAGTAACCACTGCCCATCTAATAGGTGAAGTGCAAATATAATAATGCTTTAAAGTGTGAATGTTTGGATGTTGGGGAGGGGGGGGAGGTTGGTGCTTTTTGTTTAATTGTCTTTGCTGTATCATTTTATTTTCAGGAACAAGGGGATGGTTGAGGAATTTACTGGAAATTACAGTAATGAAATCTGGCCCTTAGTACACCAGTCTCTGTCCACACAGCTGAAGCCCCTACAGTACACACGCTACGAGTAGAGGTGAAGCAAAGGTGTGCATCCAGTGGTAAAGGCTTTCCAAACCTCTCTGTATTATTGTTATTGGATGCTTAGTTTTTGTAATGTATACTATCACCACATGTTTTTTGTCTCCAGCCAAATTTTATCTTTTTTTGTGATTACTGTCACATTAATCCATCTTGTAGAGTAAAAAGAAATGTTCCAAAGTAATTTTGAATATTTGTATCGACATTTTTTTGAAAACTATAATGTTGAGTAAATTATTTACTCTTTTAGATTGTGACAAGATTTTGCTCACAGAAGGGGAATATAGGGCACATCTTCATTTAGATTATATATTTTTACTCTTCAAGGGCATTTCCTCATCATTGTTCAGTCTCTTTTTGCGCATTTTCTATTGAAAAAGGGATTGTTTAACATTCCCCTAGCTCAGTTCTTATGTGCATCTGTTAATGAAATAAGGTTTGTTGATTAAAAAAAAAATAATCATGTGTTTAATACTATACCTCAATGATTTTATTGACTTGCTTTTATCATGGGTTCAGCTATAATATGATAAAAGTTTATATCCTCTTTTTATTTGATGTCTAACATAAATCAGCTGCTTGTATTGCCAAGTTTGCCAAAGTTGTCGTTCTGATTTTTAGGTTTTTTATATTTGGTCGCTTTTAAGCACAAGGGGGCTATCCCGAAAAATGCTGTTTTGAGAAAATCGAAGGTAAAGTTTTTCCCCCTTGTTCATTTTCTTTTAAAGACAAAAGGAGAGTTTTCTCTTACCAAACAAATGAACACACCAATGAAACCCAACTTCTTCCATAGATAGGGCAATGCCCACGTTTGGTGCAGGTCAAGATTTCTGGAAACCCCTGAGATCTGGGTTAGCCCGCTTGTCCTTCAAAGCGACCATTTACTCGCCATTGTTTATGATATGATTACATTATCTTGTGTGTAGCTCTTAGAAAGGTTGAGTTTGTAATGTGTTTCATGGTTGATGGTGGTTGGAAAAAAACTTTCAATTTGGAAAACCTTTGTTTTGTTTGACAATACTTTAGATTTGTTTGTAACAAAAGAGAAAGGGTGTACGTGTACACTCTATTTATGTAACCTGTTCTCTTGTACAAATGATCGGTGGGAGCTTCCTTAACTGATTATATGTTACTGTTTCTGTTAATAGAGGTGCTGTACCTATGTGTACTCTCTTCTGGCCATGACATTTTTCAAGATTTTATGGTTATAGCAGGACCTGTCTAGTCTTTGTTCATTGCACTGCCTGTATGTTCCACCCTCCCCTTTTATCTGTTTTGCCAATGGTGGTTTGTTGCACAAAAATAAGTTATAATTTACACTGCTGTCATCAGTGCACTAGAAAGTTGTGATTGAACAGCTGTTTTACTATTATGCAGAGAATTTGTATTATATCAGTTCAATGTTTTAAACATAATATGTTGGCAACCTTAGGATACCTTGCAACCCCTATTTAAAAAATATTCCTCTTTTATTCCTTGGTTCCTTCTTTCTTTTTTTATCACTGTATGACCGTGATGATGCCCATTTTGTACTCTGGGATTACAGGTTATTCTAAAAAATAGGAGGGGGGGGGGATCTTGTATTAGTTGTTAGTTAAGCTAAACATCTTGAGAGTGTTGCATGGCTTTCAGTAAAGAATTTTTTTAGAGCATTAGGTCTATCAGCTCATATTACTCTTACATGTAATATTGCTTCTTATTCAGGTTTCAATCATGACTTGTTTCGCACACATTACCTGGAATAAGGTGTTGCTGTCAGTTTGTAAAGTTTTTTAAAATAGTAAACTTACTATATCAAATAATCAGTATGCTCAGTTTAGAATGCTTTATACCCTTGTGTTTGCCTAAGTGAAATGTAAAATAAAATGAGCCTCTTGAAAAATTGTTCCACCTGCCTGCATGCCACTGTGTAACACTGGCTATAGAAAGTGACACAATCGAGGCACTTTTGTTTTGTTAGTTGTTCAGGTGCTTGCTTTGTGGGGGGGGATGTTCTACCCTGCATTGTGTGTTCTATAAATATTTAGACTGTTGCTACTGCATCCTTTCCTATGATTCTTAGAAGCAAAAGTAATCATGTTGGTATCTTTAAAATTAACGAGTAGCCTTTACTTTTCACTGCGGTGTGCTTTAGATCTTGAGTTGAATTTCCTGTTGCTTTAAGGCTCATTGATAGTATTTACTTTATATAATGATTTTGACAATCAGATTTGGTTTTACTCTGGTTGCATTCTGTTTAATGATCAAAACTTGTGTTTTTATGGTAAGGACTTTGTTGTGCAATAGTGATTTACCAGTTCTCCCCTCTTACAAAAGTACAATGGGCTGTTTCAAAATGATGAAAATAATATCTGGCTATACAAACGGCAGTTCATGTTTACTTGTTTGTTCAACGTGGCATTATCATACTGACTGAAAATAAATTGTTGTGAAGCTAATGGATTTTTGAAACGCTTCTTGAAAATATTTAGATTTTTTACTTATAAATGAGGCTGGTACCACCACCATGGTGTTGTGAAGACACAAACTGTTGTTAGATTGAGCTTTTGTATCAGGATGTGATGTGGGCCCTCAATTCTTTGCATATCTATATGTTATGCCGTAAGTGCCTTTGATAAAAAAGCAGCAACTGTCGTACTGTACTGAAAGACTTTGAATGCAAATGAATGCTTTTATTAGATATTACTATTATTTTGTTTTTGTATTGAATCTCACATTATTTTGCCTCTGATAAACAAGGGTTGTTGTTTTTTTTTTGGGGGGGGGGGTTGTTTTAGTAAGAGTTTTACGGCAGGTTATGTAAGTGCAAAAATAATCAGTCTGAAATTATCAGGAGAGAAATGAGCTTATTTGTAGGACAATGACAGAGACCAATGTACAGGATGAGCAAGAGCTAGAGATCATCGATCAGAACATTTTTCATGGGTCATCAAGTTTCAGCTTCTTTTTCTCTTTGACCTTGATAACAGTAGCTAGCTGCTTGTTTATCTTTTTTCTTTCTTCAAAATATTGATTTCTGTTGAGTTTTAATAATTGTGACTTTAATAAATGTATCAAATCAGCTTGCAGCTGTAGAAGTTGAATTGTTTAGCACAATAATTGTGGTGTCTTTGAATTTTGAGAGGTTATTTACTACAAGAAATTGTGATTACTTTTATGTGATATGTTGATGATGACTGCCATATAAGAAAGTTCCACAAATCTGAATGAAACTTATTTTTTTATAATTTTGTTTCTGTTATTGATAATTTTTATAGATTATTCTTTTGTTTAAGTTCTTTTTGTATCCAAAACATTTTTCACATTGCATTTCTTAGATGTATAATGTTCAGTGTGATGATATGATTTTCTTCTTTATAATCCAGTCCCACCTAAATAAAGAAAACTGTGTGTCTGTATGATAATACACTGGTCTACTGTAGGCAAATATTTGATAAAGAAATAGAAAGTAAATACTGTAGAGAAAACATCTGCCTTGCATTTCGTGCTACATTCAGCCAACCTTTATCAAGTCAGTATTTTCAGATGAGCATGTCAATTTCGAAGTAAAAAAATTGTTAAATTGTCCATCTCAATTGCACTTTTTCTCTGCGTCTGAAGTTTCCTAGAAAATCATTTAAGTTGCATTCAACCTAATTTCATGAAGTCAGTATTTTCTGATGAGCATTTCAATGTCAGGGTAAAAAATAAAGACATGTTTAATGTTACATCTCAAATATACTTTTTTTTCTGGGATGTGAAGTTTCCAAATGGGAATTATGCCAATTGTAAATCCTGCTCTCCTGTTTTTGTGTCTGTATTTGCTAAAAGTCGGTACCGGTACAGAGTTGTCTTCTTTGTCACCTTTGTAGTCAGTGTATTTAACATTATGTACATATACATAATACCAATAATTTCATGTTTGTAAGCAATAACAGTATAGGCCCTATGATTTTTACAGGAGGCCATGCTTATTATATCTATTTTGTGACTGGTGCATTGTTGAATAGTGAAAATGATCCTTATGTTGTGCATTTTGATTCATGTGCTCTGAACGAAATATATACACACAATCAGTCAATCTGTTTTCTTTGGACTTTGTTCAAATTTGTTAATAATTTTTTGCCTTGTGTTGCTGGATTTGTTGTTCTTTGACTCTACACCATTCTGTTTTTGTTGGGCCATTCATGTTTTTTCTTTAAAAAGTGGGTGGTTGACGGGTGCTCTGGTGTGGTTTGCTCTTTCTTTCCTCTGAAACATCTTTCGTTCTGATCTCTCCTCCTTCTTTTTTATGTTTGTTACTCTCTTGCAACACCTCTAATCTTCTGCACTTATATGACCTTATTGTGTTGCAAGTGCCATAAAAGTCTTACTGAAACTAAAACTTTGTTTTAAAAAAATGCCCTTTTAATAAACTTGTAAGAAAATATCGTAAAATAATACAACTGTACACAAGGACAATTATGAGGTAACTTTCTTGTGTGGACTCAGTGGCAAGCATTTTTAAAATGATGCCTACACTTGAAAAGGATTTGTCAGTAGTTCCTGTTAGTGAGACCCCAACATACTTCATAACCAATCCAGGTTGAAATTATAGTAGAGCATAACCCAACCTTCTTGAAAATTCTGTAAGTGGGTTGTGGGTTTTTTTGTGTAAGTATATTACGGAGCTCGCAACTAACGGCATAAGGTCAATGAGCGCGGGCGACACATTATATTACGGAGCTCGCAACTAACGGCATAAGGTCAATGAGCGCGGGCGACACATTAAAATTAAACATTAATTTATTTGTTTGGCAGGAAGCGTATTTTGTGTTAGAATCTACCACACCCCCCTCTCTCTCTCTCTCTCCCTCCCTCCCCCCCCCTCTCTCTCTCTCTCTCTCTCTCTCTCTCTCTCAAAATTAGGGAGTGCTTATTTAGGCCACATATGGCCTAAATAAGGTGTCCCCCTCCCCGGAACATTATTTAGGCCACATATATGCTCAAACTACCCTTTTCATGCAACTGAGTTCGTTCCACTTTCATAATGGTGCTCATTTCTCATTTAGTTTAGTTTTGTCTCAGTGTACAACTAATAAATCATAAACATAATGAAAATAGTAAGAACTAAGCACAATATGCAAAATTTTGCTCAATCGCAATGGTTTGAATGAGGGCCAGATTTTTCCTTCACGGAGGGGCAAAAGCTAGGCTACCACTTTGGCACACTTTGGTCAAGTGAAAAGGTCAAATCCTCCGAATGCGAATGGACTTCAGGGTCAAATTTGGTGTATAAAAAGTGTGTACACAACGTGGCTGAGTCAAAGTTACACTATCTTTGCCGGAGTGGCACTCTCTCGTACTGCCTCGCACTAGTACATGTAGTAGTAGAAGTAGTAGCAAAGATCGTGTAGAGAATCTTTGGTAGTAGATCTAGTAGGCAGTTTAGTGAACGTGCTCACGGCAGGGCGATGGCCTGTAGACTTTTGTGATCGGCCACGAAGCCTCGTGTTTTGATGGGTCTAAACAACTCAGTTTTGTTAATCTCACTGCCACATCCGACAGGCCTACATCTTTTTAAAAGGAAAAGAAAGATCATCAAAATGGTTGTATTCACTTGAAAATCGATTGGGTAGAACTGTAAATATTAAAATTTGCTTCTGAAAACAAGGCAATTTTTACAATGCGATTAAATAAAAACTACTGGCTGTGTTTATAATTTGTAAATAAATTATGAAACTTCAGGACATATTATTATATTCCAACATCTTTTGATGCCTGAGCTGTATAGGTTGAAGTTTTCACCACGCTAATAGATCTAGTAATAGGACTTTCCGTAAAAATGCATAGATCTACAAAAGCCGAACGCCAGCGAATCGACCAGTCAGCGACCCGGGCACCCCGCTCTCCCCTGCACACTGTGATAACATGTTGCTTCGGCATCGCATTATTCAACTATTAATACGTGCGGCTATGGCAATTGGAATGTACTGACTGACAGAACAATTCAGTTTTGTTTTTATTTTACCATAATTATTTGACTTTTGAATAGTGCAGGTGATAGCTAAATCTAGATTCCCTGTCTAGAATCAGTAGTAGTAGGCCTAGGCTAGAAGCACCCAGAGAGCCTACAACTGCTAGATCTAACATTGCTATATATCATGGGTCTCAATAGTCCGCTATTTAGCGGATTTCCGCTACCGCCATTTCCTCCACTAAACTCCGCTACCGCGACAGCGAGCCAATCAGAAAGAGAGTTGTTGGGAGCAGGGTGACATATCAACATAATATTTTCCAATTACGAAATATTTCCTCCAATATCTTCATTAAACAATTTCTGTTATATATCGACTTTTTGGGGCCCACTTTGCTTTATCGACATGCTTCCTGGTTACCTGGCAAAGCTCACGAACATAAATACGGGAAAAACCACGCTAACGACTTAAAACGGTCAACGCATCCGTTCTTCATTAAGTCCGTTTATACGCGCCAAGTACATGTAGTTTGGCAAGTAGCCTTTTCGACACACCAGGATGTAATAGGTCATGTAGGGCCTACAAAGTGTTGTCTCCAACACAGTACAGTGCCTCACAGACGTGAGCGATTCACCACGCGCTGGGCATCACCTCCCTACCGACCCTATAAATGGCAAGTGCCACGGTTAGTGAGTCAATGCCTCGCCTTTCCATTTTCCCCAGCAAGCGGCCATAAACAGGCCTTAACAAGGATGCTACAAAAAAGTTTGCGATGGTGTGTAGTGTGTGCCTTGCGCTGGTCGGTCTTTGGCACCGTAACTCCCCCCCCTGCCTCTTGTTAGTTTACTGTGTAGTGTAAAAACCACTGACCTCTACTTTTTTTCCCTCTTTGGCTTTATATTTTCAATTTCATATCGACATCTAGATCTAGTCCACTTCTCAAAGCACATCGATATAAGCGGATTATTTGTATTTGCAAGAGAATAATTGGAAGCTATTTCCACCCACTATCAGTTGACAGTTTTGACGCCAAGATTTTGTTGTTGACGGTATATCTGGGCAAACCTTAGAGCATGCATTCACTTTATCATACTTTGCGTAGGCCTAGGCCTATTATTTATAAGATTGGAATTAAAACCAGTCTTTTTCCTGTCTTTTTATGCCTTGCTGCTTCTATAAGGAATATAACTTTTGGGATAGAAAGTTGTTTTGTTAAAATAATAATAAAATAAAGCATGCTATTAGTTTTGTTTCGCTGTTTATTTAAAACCAACCTCAGATTTTTTTTTATTGCACCGCAACCGAACTTTTTGACCTTTGGCCTTGTTTTGCTTCCTGGGTTAGATAGTGTGAACGGAAACAATCGATCCAGAGAATCCTATTTACAATTTATCATATAAATGTCTGGGAATCTGCTGAGTTCATTTCGATCTGATTTGCTGTGAGTGCTCGTTAAATAAGTGAACAATGGTCGTCTTTTTTGGGAAATGTTCTAAGGACGGGGTAGAATCTAGAATCAACTGCTTTTAAACTTGAACAAGGATCGAGATCTTGTGTAAGTTGCTCATCAGACAGACTGTCTGCTTGTTGATGTTGTCGTGCGTCTTTGTTGGTCCCAGATCCACCAGATCCCAACAATCAATTAGATCTAGATCTAGAATCTAGATCTAGATCTATAACATTGCATTTTTTTTTTTTACATAGGACGACTGGTATTTAGGTGGGCTTTAAAAAAACAACCCAAACAAGGTAGGTTACCCAAGCAGTAGATCTAGGCTGCGTGTAGTTTATTTTAACTTTGACTTTAGCACTCTTTTTATCCTGGCCGTACCCCAGCCCCCATGGACCGGACTCTGTACCCATCCTGGGGCACTCCTACAATTGTGGTCCCGTATGCACTAAATCACGCTAAATCTAGGTCTAAGTACCCCCTGTTGATCTGTAGTAATTTTTTACGTGTTTCTTATTTGGAAGTGGCTATTCTCACCCGCCCGAAAGTTCTCGCAAGATCTACTCCTCCCCTCTTCTCTCTCTCTCTGTCTCTGTCTGAATACTGTCTATCGGTGTGGACGATCAAATTGACCAAGACAAAGTTAAAAAATGATGTTAAAATACAAAAGTAAATTAATTTGGATGTCTACAAAGATGCTACGACTATTTAACTTTTCGAATCGAGTCGAACTACGCGGGTCGCCATTTTGTTTTGCCCGGAAGTTCTCGCGCTACTCCTCTCTCTTTCTCTTTCTCTCTCTCTCTCTCCACTGCCCACAGACAAAATTGTACGCTTTTAGTAGGCTACAGTTGTAATGGAACGTTTGTTCACGGCACAGAATTCTATAATTTTTCTGTTATCACAGTGTAGAATTCTGTGGTTTAGGGTGAACGCAAAATTTGTTGGCCTAGATCTAGGCTATAACGGTGAACGCGCACCGGGTGACAATAGCCAAAAGACTCGCCTGCACTATTCTCACCCCGGGTGAGAATAGAGGTGGCCTTCTTATTTAGATAAACTGAATTAAAATGATCAAAGTGGCTATCGAGACTCGAGTCCGAACAGCTGCTGGAGGCTATTCAGACTCAAATTCCAGTACGCGAGCTCAATCACGGTAGAACGATGCAAACTATTTTTAGGTAAGACGGCCATCTTGTTTGACGTCCGACCGGGATACCCCTCCAACCACGTGACTTCATCTAATTATAAGACAACCGCATGGCACCAAAGATGGAAGTGTCTATATCAAGCTTTTATCTACCTTTCGCTGTCAGAAGTTGTAAAGGCTGTATGGACAGCGTGTCTGTGTTTGAAGTCATACAAAATTATTTTATGAGCTCTTCTCCTCTTTCCGCCTGACCTATAGTTTTTCCCATAAATTATAATTTGTTGCTTTGTTATTTTTTTTAAGGCCGTCGTTATTCGGACTCGAGTCCGAATAACATTTTTTCATATTCGGACTCGAGTCCGAATAAAAAAAAGTGTCTTCGTTCTATAGATCTAACGTTCAGGGCTTCCCATTTTCCGCCATCTTTTAGTTTCCCCCACACCTTTTCTGCCGATCCGATGCCTGCCGCCTCATTGATACGCCCCCCCCCCCCCCCAACACCACCCATGTTTTCCACTTTTCTTTGTTGTAGAAAAAGGTAAAATTGAAAATTCGCAGACCACCTGGCACCTGCATATTATGAGCTGTGTAAAAAAAAAAAAGACCGATTCGTTCAAATACACAAGCCTGTGTCATCTCGATTGTTTACCAAGAAAAAGTTGTGTTGCTGTGTAGAGCTGAGCATACGGCAACTTTTGATTCCATAGACCAGCGCACAATTTATTGCGTAGATCTACGTCAAGACTAGCTTATTATTGTAATTACTAATAATGATCAGTTGCCGGGGGAAAAAAGACTGACGCGTATGCGACGTTCAACGCCCGGACCGATAGTGCTCCCCCCACCCCCCTCCCCGACACGCACACAGCCACACGTGTGCAGGCCGCCCATCTGACCCCGACACACGCTAACGAGCCATCTGTAATTGCTTCTGATGACCTCTTGACAAATAAACATTTATTAAAAGCGCTATAACTTTTCAGGCCGACCTCAAATTCATCATAAGATAAAAACTCGGCTCCTGCTCAAAACGCCATTTTGCCCGAAGCGATCCCGGTCTCTACCCAGCCTGAGGCGAGTCACGACTGAGGCAGGACAGGAAGCCGGAGTCACGAGTCACAGGAAGTCGGAAGTCGGAAGTGATGTCATGCTGGACAAGAATCAGAGTCCGAATAACATTCTTTCATATTCGGACTCGAGTCCGAATAGTCACTTCGTTTTTTTAATGTATATATGAATATATGTAGTGATGGAAGTATGCAGGAGAGGGGGATGGGGAATCCTCTGGCGTCTTTTCAGCACTTTTCGTGGGGTTTATTGTCTTTGTGTTTACCGTTTTCTTTTTTAAACATCAGCTGTTCTGTGCATCAACAATCTAAGCGGTCTTCCATCATGTCCAAGTATTAGATCTAGAAATTACTAAATGTTATTAAAATAACATACCGAAAACACGTCATTCCATTGGATACCTCCACGGCCTTCTTAAAATAGTCTGTGGGTATCCCAGGAAGTGATGATGTCACATTACTAAAATTAGCACCCAATCAGGAAGATGCATCGTTCTACGTTTAATTGCATCATGTCTTTACCTCTCTCTATTTTTCTTACTTTTTACTTTTTCTCTCTCCATCTTACTTCCCCAGGCCCGCCCCATCACTTTCACCTTCTTTTTATGCTTATTTATAGATCTTTTCCCTCCCATACCGTTGCCCACTGCCCGGCCCTACTAAAATATTCCTTTCTAAAGAAAAGACCACAGTTCGCACTGGGTCACCGCGGTCGGCGTCCATTTGTTGTAAGTTCCTTGGCCAGATCATAAAAACTGAGGAAGGCCAAGGTCGAATTGCTAGTCTGCTTCACATCCTAGTGATTTCGCACGCTCATTGGAGTTTGAGTCCGAATAGCCTTATGTGGGTATTCAGACTCGAGTCCGAATAGCCACGGTAGGCTATAGCCGTGGCCTAAAAATTTAGATCTAGATATAATCTAGATCGAGAATCTAATCTTGGCCTAGAATCTAGAGATCTCAAGATTCTAGATCTAGATTCAATCCCACAATGGCCATCATATAAACAAACAGACCGCATTTGTACAGGAGTGCCCGTCCTGGGACCACTGCGCCGCCTGAGTTGGAATCCAGGATGTATATTTCAAAGTGCTGTATTTTTTTAACATACTCCTTGTCTTAGATAAAGGTTATAAGGAAATTTGGCAGTTATGTTAGAAATTGTGAATGTAGTATTTGTAAATGTATGTGGTAAGGAATTACAACAATTGCACAATGTAGATTTTGAGGTGTAATCCTCCCTCCAACTTGACCCTGACTGCCACACCCACACGCCCCCTTGAATTTATAGATCCAGCCCTACCCATCAGTACTGCGCGAATTCCAGTACTGGTCCCTTCACCATGATCTGAATCGCTATAAGATGAGTCTAAAAATTCCTGTTCGTTATCATCCCCAACGGCGCTTGATTCAGAGTCACTTTTATCTAATTAGTCTCATTCCCCCTCATAACCTAGCGCCACTTCAAGAAGTACTTTGTCGGTCGTGAATGAGGGTTTTCGAGATATCTTTCAAGTTTCTACACCAATCAGAAACAAAGAAACCGTTGTTCATTGGAAAATTTAATTATTGAGTCAGAGCTAGCGTCGCTGCATTTGCATGTATTTTGGTAATTACAAGCTGAACTAGCAGTTTGACGTGACCGTATATAGCTGTTCAGAGATTATTCATAGCACGGACTGGTCCTCGTTACAAGTATACCCATAGCCCGGATAAAAAGAGTTAAAGGCACAAGTACGAGAAGCGCACTCATTTTTGGGAAGGAGTTTCGCAGAGGGCTGGCTGGCCAATGACACAAAAGAGGGGATATTTTGAGCGGGATATCCTAACCCTAAACCCTAACCCTTGCATAGTTTGCTCAGTGGACCTTGTCACGGTAAGTGCTGGACCTGTGCGGAACTCCTCGTTCCCCATTTTTGGAACGAAGTGTTCTACACCCCAATATTGCTAGATTTTCTGTTGTAATACACCTGAATGACGCATGCGCAGTTTGTTCTTTTTTCTGTTCTCCGTGTCTGCTGTTAAAAGGCAACACATGTTAAAGGGAGTAAAATTTTATTCATGGCAAGAATTTCAACAAAAGTTGAAAGAATTTGAGGGCAAACACATAATATGTTCTTTTTTCTTCAAAATTTCTACCAAATCGGCGACGGACAATAATAATAATA